CTGCTTCCTAGAATCTGGATTGATGAAAATTTTGTTCAGAGTCTGTAATTCATTTTACTACTGCTACAGAGGAAAGAATAATTGACATAATCTAGTGAGAAATTATGAAATGCTTTTAATTTGCTTTATGATCGCCTGATTAAAGTGCTACAGTGCCTTTTTGATCAACACCTAATAAGAAATAATCTAGTAACTAATTTGTCATGTAACTAAGAAGTGTTTCAGAGAATGAATATTCCAGAAAATTGAAACAGAACTTTTTAGGAACTAACTACATTATCATATAATAAATACAGTGATATCTAAAGAGATCTCCACAGTGCCTGGAACTCTTAAAGAGACATACAAGAATAATAATTGAAGACACGAACTCTAGAGCCAGAATTCTTAGATTCAACTCCCAGCTCTACCACTATTGTTGTTAAGTGCCATTGAGTCAGTTCTGACCCATAGTGATCTTGTATAGGGTTTCCAAGGAGCGACTGGTGACCTTGAACCTCCCACCTTGTGGTTCGAACCAACTTTGCAGTCCAGCCCATTAACCCATAGTGCCATACCCGGACTCATCTCCACCACTAGTAGTACTGATTGTGAGCAAAACTATGGGTTAACATCCCAGGGCTTTCAGCCATTATCTATGTAAAATGGGAACAGTGATAGTAACTACCTCATAGACTGATGTAAGGATCAATCTGAAACCCTGACTTGTTTTTCATGAAGTGTAGAAAAACCAAATACATATTCTAGATGCTATCATCATAGATAACATTACATGCTGTTTGTGTACAGATAATAGATTTAAAAACACTCTCTGGCTACAGATACGATGTAAATGTTAGGTGTTGCTGTTGCTGCTGCTGATTACTTTTTGCTTATTTATGTCATTTAAGGAATAGGCAGAAAACTAAAAGGCAATTAACTAAATGAATCTCATATCATTGACTGCTGTCAGCGTGCCAGCCAGGATCTAGACGTACCACTTCACTTGTACTCTACTGCTTATGAGAGAAACTAGATAACCAAGTTTGTTGGACTTTGCACCTAAAATAAGACCTGAGTCTGTTATGAAGGGTTTGGCTGTATGTAAGTGGTTTGTAAAATCGTCTCTAATTTATAATGTTGTAAGATAGCTGGTATTGCTGTTACCACTATTTACAATATCATCACTTACTCTATTTTATAGATTAGGACTAGCAGGGTCATGTTTTCGGCCCAAATCTTCTGCGTCTGCTTTTTACTTTTATCTCCACTCCACAGTTGATGGATAGGGGAAATATTTTTAAGCATTATTGTATTTTTGTGCTTTTCTTTGGTACATTTCCCAAGATGAGGAATCTTTATAAAACCAATGTCATCATCCACTTTCATGGTAATTGTCTGTCACCTGTTTATCCTAGAGTTTAGTGCTCTGGTTTTTGTGTGCAGTGAGAGGCTGGGTTAGGATAGGGTTAATGATCCTCTTCCTGCCAGTAGATGAACTGGGATAAATTCATCATGGGCACCCCATGGTCAGCCCCTATCTCTCAACTCATCATGGGTACCCCAGGTCAGCCCCTATCTTCTACTGGGCATAAAAGATCGTGTCATGCTCTGGTATCCTTATCATTTACCTAGTTTATTAGCTAAGAATCCTGGTTGCGGTGCTGTGGGTTAATGCACTAGATTGCAGGGTCAGCAATTCAAACTCACCAGCCATTCCTCGGGAACCCTATGCAGGGCCACTGTGGGTCAAAACCAACCCAATGGCACACAACAACCACATTAGCTAAGAAAGAAGATACGGTACAACTTTTGTGTATGGTCTCTAAAACTACGAGACTAAGTTTATGTGATTCTAATACTATTTTCCATTATATCAGTCTTAATCAGTGTTTCTGTTTCTCAACAAAAATTAATGAAAGCTAGAAAATCTGTCTCCGTACCCCAATCTTTTCTTTTACTTCCTCCCTTCCCCCCCCACCCCCCACTACTTTGAAGTTCAAACCCATCAACTATTCATTGGAAATCCTATACAGGGTCACTATGGGTCGAAACCTACTCAAGGGCACTTAACATTTCCCTTTCTGCTTTTACAGAATGGCACAAACACCTACAACCTCTTTAGCTTAGTAGGACATTGATAATTGAAGTGTGAGCTGAGTAAAAGTCTATTTACCTAGGATTAACCTTAGGTTTAGAAAAATAAAAAGAAATGGGAGTCTTGAATATCAAAGATGCATTCATTTTCCCATTCTTCTCTCCTCAGCTGTCTTGCTAGACTGGTATCTCATCAAGGAATGAATGCAATCTTAACACTAAGAGGTTATTAAGTTAATGAATCTCTAATCCATTCTGAACAATTTGCTTTTTCTAAGCATCCTATTCTTAAATGCATAGCTTTTCGCTCTAAAGGAACCAGGAAAGAAGGATTTAACCATGGAAGATTCAAGGAAGGGGAGCCAATGATACTAATTCCTGAGATTTGAGAATTACATAGGATCTTTAGGAAAGACTGTGGTCATTGCACATATGAAACTATTGCATTTTCGGAAGTATTGATAGCCACTTTCTTGGAATTATAAGACTTGTTTTATAATAGTTTGGTATATAAACTATGTATTTGGTTTAGAAACTAAATCAAAATGATATAATTCATCCTCTTTGTTTTGAGACCCATGTTCTATCAATCTGGTTGCCAATGCATTTGTAGGATAAAGCAGGAAACTTTCCTTTTTGTAGTACATCTTAGAGGTGCCTTGGTGTAGAGGTTAACGCTTGGCTGCTAATGGAAAAGTTAGCTGTTCTAACTCACTAGAAGGAGGTAGCAGTCTGCTTCTGTAAAGATTGTTGTTGTTGTTGTTAAGTGCCATTGAGTCAGTTCTGACCCATAGCGACCCTGTACAGGGTTTCCGAGGGTGTAAATCTTTACGGGAGTAGAAATTAGAACCTTGGAAACTATGGAGCTAACAGTTAGTTCTCCTCTGCCCTATCTGGTCTTTGTGATTCAGAATCGACTTTTCAGCAATGGATCTGGCTTTTGGTAGTATATCTTAGAGACATTATTAAATCAGCCCAGGTAGAACTGCTTCAGTCTTTTAAAGGATGCTATGCTACTCTATGGAGTCCTGGTGCTGGATTGCTAGGTTACATTGAACCACAAGGTTGGTGGTTCAAATGCATCAGCCACTCCTCAGAGACACTATACAGGGTCACTATTGGTTGGAACCAACTCCACAGCACTTAACAACAACAGCGTGCTACTCTGTAGTGTACTTTATTGATGAAAGGTCCTCTATTGGTGACTGGAAAATCACTGACCTCAAATGCAAGGTCATTTGAATTATATATTTATATGAGGGGGTTTCAAAACTTGGACAAGTTCCGCTATCTTTTCATTCCATTTTTACCTTGTGTATTATGGATTCAGTTGACAAATACACATATAACCTACTTTGAATCTGAATCTTAACGTCTCTTCAATTTTGTCCTGCATGTTTAATTTTAAAAAATCTATTCTGCTCAAAAGGTTTTTACTTGGTTGAACCAAATTTCTTCAGTTCCTGCCAAATGCCCTTCTCTGTCTGCCCCTCCCTCCATTTTTTTTCTCCTTTAAAGGGAAAGCACTGGTTTATATCATGAAGAAATTTTGGAAGCATCAGGGAGAGGGTCGAAATAATATTAATACGTAATTATGTAAGCAAGGGTTAATCTGTAGTACATGGACTCTAAAGAGACTTTTTAAAATGTTTTATTGTGATAGTTTACATGGGAGAGCATTAGCTTTACATTCATCTTATCGTATGTCATTTCATTGCCATGGTTACAACCCCCTCCATGCATCATCAACCAACCAAAGGGTATACCCTGCAGGCCTGCCCCCCAGTCATCAGCACACAGCCCCTCTCCCTCTCTGGGTCTAAAGTCTCCAGCCGCTCCATCTCTCCATGTCATCGTCTCTGCCTCCATCTCTGGCGTCACTGCTTAGAGACTTTTTACATTTAGTTGTTTTGTTTTTCTTTTTTTTTAATTTAAGGTTTTTATTGTGGATTAAGTGAAAGTTTACAGGGTATATCATCAATTTTACATTCAACAAATCATACACCTTGTTTCATTACAATGATTATAATCCCCTCCATGTACCGTCAGTTAACAGTGTTTCTCTCTATCCACTTTAGCTTTTTACATTTAGTTTTTATAGAGACCAGTTTGATAGGGCCTGGGCCTCAAAACAAAGAGGTTGAATTATATTATTCTGCTTTTGTTTATATAAAGAAACTTTATTGGGGTGGGGGTTGATCATCAGTTTTGTTAACAATGGTACACTGTCTCATAAGTAGCCTGTCTACATTCATTATGTCAGAAGACAGAAAATTATTAATTTCTCCATTTCTCTAAAATAATAAATGAGGTTGATGACATCCTATAAACAGCTAATTTAAGGCAAACTTACACACAGAATTACTCTCTAAAATTGTTTTAATCAACCTCATTACACATGTCCTACAATCTTAGTTTTTTGTGTGGATTCTTTTTTTTAAAAGAACTTTTGATTTTTTAATATTTCTGTTCTTACTGTGAGATGTTACCATGTAGTGTGTAAAAACTACATGTCCTTGGATTAAGACATCTAAGTAAAAGTTACTGCTTTTTCATTTCCTGACATTGATATTTTGGTTGGTTGGGATGTACAACCACATTGGTCTTATTTTGTATCACTGATAATCCACAGGGTTGGCTGATATGTGCTGAACTTTCTGTTCTAGACATTCTGCCAAGGACTTTATGCAAAACTCTGATTTTAGTGAACCAGGTTTTATTGGTTTTAGTCAGCATCATGTTTATAAGCTGTTGTTAGCTATGTGATGCAAACAGAAGAGTTGGTATGTACATATAGTCATGAAAACAAACCACCAAAACAAACCTTTCTCTGTTCAACTGGATGTTTTTCCCTCTCATTCCTGTAGCCTCAGCTCATGTTGTTTACTACCAGAGGCCTGAGATGGTGTCATTTTCTTTTCTAGGAACTTGGTATTAGAATTCCTCGACCACTGGGACACGGACCAAGCAGATTCATCCCAGAACAGGAGGTATGTCTGTGAGAGTACATAGTGAACTGTATGCTTTTAAGGAAATGCTTTTGTGACCCACATCTTGGCATCTCAGCAACTGTAGTCCAACAACATGTTTTACGCAGAGTTGATCACAGTTAATCATGATGCTCTGGCAGTGAATATGTGGGATTAGAAAGCTGTTTGTAGTCATGTTGATTTCTAGTACTTCACGAGGCTTTTTTAACACCCATATTGAAGCAAGGAAACCCAAAACGTGTTTTTGACTAATGGCACTCTGCTCATATTTTGATGTTGTTTAGGTGTGCCCATAAGACAGTCCTGGACTCCTGGTGTGGTGCTGTAAGATCAGCACTGGATTGCTAACCATAAGGTCGACAGTTCAAACCCACCAGCTGCTCCTTGGAAACCCTGTATAGGGTCACTATGAGTCGAAACTAACTCAATGGCACTTAACAACAACAACAGCAGAAGAATCCTATTGTGGTGCTTTAGGATAAGCACTGGACTGCTAACCACAAGGTCGGCAGTTTAAACTCACCAGCTGGCTGCTCAGAAACGCTGTATAGGGTTGCTATGAGTCGGAATTGACTCGAGGGCACTAAACAACAATATAAACTGAGTTACTTGCAGGTTTTCAACTCAAACCCAAACCTGAACCTGAACCCAGGTTATTCAGGCTTGACCCCTGCCGAGCATTTGCACCTAGTCAGAATCTATATTTCAACAAGATCCCCAGGAGGGAAGCCTAAGGATCACCTAGGAACCTTGTTAAAATGGAGACTCTAGTTCAGTATATAAGGGGGCATTAAAAGCTTCATGGAAAAATAGAACTAAAGGATAATGGAATTTTTCCTCCAGATTTTTGCAGTCTCCCTTTTATTTGGGCTAGAAATGCACCTTCTCTGCAGGAGTCTAACAGGAATGAACTGGTTCAAAACCCTGGTGACTTAGTCGTGACTATCTTCACAAGCTTGTGTCAATGCTAGATTGAATCTTTAGTTCTAAATATAAATAAAGAGGTTTTTAGATTTATGTATTTTATATAAAGTTTTCACAAGTGATGCTTACTTTGAGTTAATTTTGGTTCTCTTTAAATTGAATGGCAATAGGCGTTGTTATAATGAAAGGCTTTAGTATCTGTTAAATTCTACAAGTTTAATCATCTAAATCGGCTCTTTATCGGAATTCTGGCCAAATTGACTAGCATCCTGCCTGCTGCTGCTACTGTGTATCTTTGAGTCCGCTCTGCCTCATAGCAACCCTCTATAGGGTTTCTGAGGCTGTCACCTTTATGGGAGCTGAAAGCCTCATCTTTGTCCTGAGGGAGCAGCTGGTAGATTTGAACTGCTGATCTTGCTAGATGGCCTTGAATGTTCAGCCTATGTTGTTTATCCCTTACTGGAGAGTATGTGACTGTTTATTCTTCTTCCTTGTTACCAATTGACTTTAAATTTGTGGAATTGTAACCTCGCTCTCTTAAACCAAATCTAATTTGCTTCCTAATGACCTTAGAACACAATGCTTGTGTATTTTTTCCTTGAACATCTATTTACCTTTCTGTAACAGTAGTTTTTCTCTTATTTATACAGATTCTCCAAGTGGGGAGTGAAGACGCACAGATGCACGCTTTATTTGCAGATTCTTTTGCTGCTTTGGGTCGTTTAGATAACATTACATTAGTGATGGTTTTTCACCCACAATATTTAGAAAGTTTCTTAAAAACTCAACACTATCTACTGCAAATGGATGGGCCTTTACCTCTTCATTATCGCCACTATATTGGAATAATGGTTTGTAAATTTTTAGTGAAAACTTCTGTTTTTATTGATCTCTTGGAAATATTTAATGCTGTAAACACAGGGATGAATACTTATACCCTGGCTTGTAATAGGATTCCTGTTAGATAGTATTTAGTTTTCTTTTTTCTAACTAGGTATGCCCTACAGCAAGGCCTGGGGGCGGGAAAGGGGACCTTTTCTGCCAAAATTTGTAATGTTGTTTGCGGGCCATACAAAATTATCACCCTAGACATTAGCCTACTATGTTTAGTCAAACATTTCATTAACTCACCCCTAATGTGATGGCCTGGGGTCATTGTGTGATGCTGCTCGTTAATGTTCTGGTTTGAACCGTGAGGTTAGCGGTTCAAGCTCACCAGCTACTCCTTGGAAACCCTATGAGGGGTCGCTATGGGTCAGAACCAACTCAGTGGCGCTTAACAACAACAATGTGATGGCCTGGTGTGGTGCTGCAGGATAATGTGCTGGACCACATGGTCAGTTTAAGCCTCAAGGTTGGCACTTCAAACCCACCAGCTGCTGCTCAGAGTTGCTGTAAGTCAGAACTGACTTGATTGCACTTAACAACAACAAAAACAACGTGATAGTTGGAACTGTGGTTGCCTTGGCAGGACCAGACCAAATGATTTTTCAGGCCTTGGAATCCAGGTGTGCTGTGGGTTAATATACTGGACAGCAAAGTCAGTCTGAGCCGCTAGGTCGGCCATTCAAGCTCACCAGCCTCTCTTTGAAAACCCTATACAAGGTCACTTAGTGATGTGTCAGAACTGACTCAACGGCACGTAACAAAAAACAACATACAGCCTGAGGGCCAGACGTTCCCTACTCCTGCTCTAAAGTATCAGAGCCCCCTGCCTCCTGACATAAAATAACCATGTATTTATACACTCCTGAGGACATCCTGCATTAAATAAGAAACTGAAATAACGCACAAGATGTGTTTCATTATTATAAATAGTTCACTTTAACATGTCTCTAATCTTATTTGTAAGTATGCTTCTAAAATTCATGAAAAAATTGAATTTTCCATGAAGTTTTTGAAGCTCCCTAGTAGTCCATTATTTTGTAGTTGACACCTTAATTAAAGTTTCTTCGTAATCTGAGGTTCTGAAAGTTGGCGCATAGAATTTCTAAAGTTTCTTATGTTTATTGTTTGTTCATTGTTTGTTCTTGGAAATTTCCTGAGGTGGTTCCTATGGTATATTTGAATGTTTTAAATGTTTATAAGAAAACTTCATTTCTGTAATTTATAGAAAAAATTTAAACATACTAATAAAAAGCTAAGCAATTTTTGCACCTTCTAAAGGATTTGTTTAGAATTTTAATTTTTACAATCAGGGTAATATTTCTGTTTCCTCTCAAGGCTGCAGCAAGACATCAGTGTTCCTACTTAGTGAACCTCCATGTAAATGACTTCCTTCATGTTGGTGGGGACCCCAAGTGGCTCAATGGCTTAGAGAATGCTCCTCAAAAACTACAAAATTTAGGAGAACTCAACAAAGTGTTAGCCCATAGACCCTGGCTTATTACCAAAGAACACATTGAGGTAAGTCATAAGTAATATATCTCAGGTGTCTGTATTTTTTAAATGACATTTTAAACTAGTTTCTTCTAATTGTGTTGGTTAAAAGGGTAGTAGAGTAAACACAGATTGGCATTTTCTACAAGTGTCTTACCATGTAGTAGAAAATTTTGAAAAACACAATATGTTGTTTGGTCTTGTCTTTTTAGTTTATAGTACATGCTAGATACTGTTACTTATTTCAAGCTTCTTAATAAGAAAAGTGGGAGTCCTGGTGTGGTACTGTGGGTTAATGCACTAGACTGCAAAGTTGGCTTGAGCCATGAGGTCAGTGGTTCAAGCTCACCAGTCATTCCTCGGAAAACCTTACAGGGTCGCTATGAGTCAGAACCAACTCGATGGCACTTAACAACAAATAAGACCGCTAACTTGCTAGCCTCTCCTCGGAAACCCTATACGGGGTTGCTATAAGTCAGAACCAACTTGATAGCATTTAACAACATCAAATTAAGAAGATGATAGAAGATTTGGATATGAATTAGGCCTTATTTGTCTAGTATATCATCAAATAAGAAAAATAATCATGCAAGCTTATAAGATGGGTAACGAAGCAGAAGGGACACAAACTTTAATTAAACATAGCACCTTGAGAATAATTTTTAGAGTATGATTTTATGGCTTCGGGATTTTCCGCATGTTAAGTTGCTGGACGAGGGGCAGTGGTGGCTCATTGGGAGAATTTTCCCCTTCCAGGCGAGACCCAGTTTCTGCTCCCTGTGGGGCATCTCATGCATGTCCACCACTCTGGCTTCTGTGTTGCTATGAAGCTGAACAGGTTTCAGCGGCTTCCAAACAAACAGACTAGGAAGAAAAACCTGGCAGTCTACTCCTGAATTTCAGCCGATGGAAAGTCTATGGCTCAATCAGGCAGCAGAACAGTATGGTGGTTTAGACATACCATGACATCCCTCTCCTCCTACCCCACCTCGAGCAAAGACACAAGGAACCAAGTGAAACGGATGCTGATGAGAGTCTTGGAACCTTAAGCAAGCAGCAAGCAGAAGGATGAAGTGTTAAACACCAAATGGAAGGAGAAGCTGGAGTAAACAGTGAACACGGAAACATATGGATCATAGATGCCCTACCCGCTGACCCAACACAGTGTGGCCATCTTTAGACAAAACAAGCAGTGTTCTGGTTGAGGAACATAGGAAGGCAACTTTGTAGAATCCTCAGTAGCTGAAAGATACAGTGTAAATGACTCCTGAGTGAAACAGGGTGTTCGTCATCTGCACCTTTGCCTAACAACAAGCAGGAGTTCATAGTGCCGCCTTCTAATGCCTGGCCTACTGCACCATCACACATTCCCAACCTACACAATTCCAGCAGATTAACTGGATATGCACTGAAGTCTCTTCATTCCCCACCATCTACTGAAACAACAGTTCACACATACACCAGGGCCTACCCCATCCATTTGGGAGGCATTATCTAGCAGCCACAGAGATATTCTGCTTTGATCTTCAGAAGGATTCCGTAAATCCATGAAGACTGTTGAGGGTTCCTGACCACATTTGTCACCCAATATCAGGGAAACGGCCTACTCATCCTCCTCCACTCTCATGAATGCCTTAGCAAACAAGAACTAATCATATGAAGAAACAGAATTAGATGGCTCTAAAAAGTAAGTAAAATAAAGGGGAAGGAACCCTACCTGAAGAAGAGATGGTAATCAAACTACCTGATAAGGAATTTAAAAACTTAACTATAGCGTAGTGGTTACGAATCGGGCTGCGAACCTTAAGGTCAGCGGTTCGAAACTACCAGCCGCTCCGCGGGAGAAAGATGAGGCTTTCTACTCCCGTAAGGATTTACACCCTCGGAAACCCTGTACAGGGTCGCTATGGGTCGGAACCGACTCGACGGCACTTAACAACAACAACATAGGATCCCTAAAGTGTCCTGGTGTCACACTGGGGGACAAGCACTGGGCCACAAGGTCAGTTTGAATCACAAGGTCTGCAATTCAAGCTCACCAGCCATTCCTTGGAAACCCTATGGGTTTCTATGGGACAGAACTGACTCAAAGGCACTTAACAACAACAACAAAGAGATCAAGAAAAACACAAACCAACAAAGCCCTAGAAGAATTCAGGAGAACAATGGAAGAATAAAATGACAAACAATTAGAAATAACAGAAAACAACAACTAGAAATCCAGAGATAAACATTTATTGTAAGACATAGATAACTCAATGGAAGCACATAGAAATAGAATTACAGCAGTAGAAGAAATAATCAGTGAGATAGAGGACAAATCCTTGATACTAATCTGTGTGAGGAACAATCAGATAAAGAATGAAGAAGCCTAAGAATTATGTGGGACACTATCTAGATAAAGAATTTACACATAATTGGAATTCCTAAAGAAGATAAAAAGCACAGAGAGAATTTGTTAAGGTATATTTGACAGAAAACTAATGTGAAAGATAAAATTTTCATCTTTCAGTGAAGTTCAGTGAGCCTGCATGTAAGATTTGTTATTGTTGTGAAGTGCCATCGAGTTGGTTCCGACCCATAGCAACCCTGTAGGATTGACCCCTCAAAAGAAAGTCACCAAGATATAACATAATCAAAGTTTTCAAAACCAAAAACAAAGAATTCTGAGAACAGCTCATGAAAAATGAAATCTCACTTACAAAAGGTCACTGATTTCTGAGCAAAAAGGCAGTGGTATATAATACATACAAAACTGAAAGGAAATGAAAATTGCCTTTCGAGAATCATACATCCACCAAAATTGCCTTTAAAATATGCTGAAACTAGGATATTCTCAGATAAACAGAAATTAAGAGAATTTGAAAAATCAGACCAACCTTAAAAAATACAGGCAGTCCCCAGGTTACAAACAAGCTAATTCCTAACTTTGTCTTTAAGTGGGATTTGTAGGTGATTTGGAACAAGTGCATATGTTCTTGTTAGGTCTTACTTTAGTGCAAGAAAAGGCTTGAAGCCTTTTCAGTTATTTAAAAGCTGTATGTACACCAAGTGGAGGTGATTGTGGTGAAGAATTTGTTGCTAGTAGGGGTTGGTTCCATTGTTTCATCAAAGTCAGGCATTCATCACCTGGAACCCTTCAGACGGTACCAATAGCATCAGACAATAACTTGAGACCAATCACACAACAGCATTACCTAGATGCCAACCCAGATAATGAACTCTCAAAACGAAAATAAAGATGAATACAGAGTACCAGAGTTTCCGTCTGAAAACAGTGATATAACTTCAAAACATTAAGAGGAAATAAATGGTGTAGTTTTACACCTTCTATTTCGAGAGATATAATAGATTGTTTTAAACTTAGGAAGATAAAGGTAAATTTCAGTTAGCCACAAAGAAAATAAATCTTCTCACCAAAATGAAGAAAATCACAGAGACTCAGTAAACACAAAATCAACAAAGAAGTATAGGAAAAGAAAATCTACATATATAAAAAAGAACTTAGCACAGAAAATTAAGCAAAGAAACACACAAAAGCATGAAAGGGCAGTACTAAATTTTTATCTTCCCATCACACTGAATGTAAATTATTTAAATGTACCATTCATGAGTCAGAGTGTGGCAGAATGGATTAAAAATGATGCATCAATATCTTGCCTTCAAGAGACACCTTAGACACAAAGACATTAAGTAGGTTAAAACTCAAAGGATGGGAAACATTACTTCAAGCAAACAGTAAATAAGAGAGCAGGAATAGCAGTAATAATCTGATAAACGTTAAGTCAAAATCCTTTATAAAAGGCAAAGAAGAGTGTTAATCGGGATTTCAAAAATTTTGTGGAAAAATTATGTTTTCTTTTAATTCCATTTTCCACAAAGTTTTTGAAGCACCATATATATACTTGTATAATGACTAAAAAGAGAAGATAACCATAATAACTATTTACACACCTATTAACAGAGCCCCAAAATACTTAAAGTAACAGAAGTGAAAAGAGAAATAGACAGTTCTACATTAATAGTGGTTGTTGTTGTTAAGTGCCACGGAGTCAATTCTGACCCATAGCGACCCTGTAGAGGGTTTCCAAGGAGCAGCTGGTGAGCCTGAACCACCAACTTTGCAGTTCAAACGACTTTGCAGTCTGACGCATTAGTCCACAGCGCCACACCAGGACTTATACACCACTTTCAGTGATAGAACAACTGGAAAGAAGCTCAACAAAGATAATCTAACAGTGAACCAACTAAACCTCACAGACATCTATAGAACATACCACCCTGCAACAGCACTGTATACAGTATTCTCCAATGCACATGGAACATTCTCCAGAATAGACCTGAGTGTAGGCCACAAAGCAAGCCGAGATAACATTTAAAACATCGGAATAATGCAGAGCATCTTCTGTGATCTTAACACTTTGTTGTTGTTGTTAAGTGCTGTTGAGTTGGTTCTAACTCATAGTGAACTTACACACAACAGAACAAAACAGTGCCCAGTCCTGTGCTATCACCACTGAATAATAACCTTACTTTAAAATGATTGGGTATTAGAAGAAATTAAAAATGAAGTTTAAAAGTTCTTAGATTTAAATGAGAATGAAAACACAACATACCAAAACCTATGGACACCACAAAAGCAGTGAAGAGGTGAATTTATAGCAATAACTATACACTTCAAAAAGAAAACAGGGCCAAAATTAGTATCCTGACCCTTCAACTCAGAGACTCCTGGTGTGGCACTGTAAGATCAGCACTGGACTGTGAACCACAAGGTCAGCAGTTTAAACCCACCAGCTGTTCCTCAGAAACCCTACACAGGCTCGCTATGAGTTGGAACCGACTCAACAACACTTAACAACAGCAACCACCCTTCAATTCAGACATTTAGGAAAGAAGTTCATGGTCATTAGAAAAAAAGAAACCATAAAGATCAGAGCAGAAGTAAATGAAATAGAAAACTGAAAAATAATAGAAAAGAATCAAGATTAGAAATTAGTTCTTTGATCAATAGTTAAAACCGTTGGTCTCAACTTATCTGGAGTAAAAGAGAATCAAGGAAAGCAAAGATTCTAGGAAAAAGCCAGTCCACAGGACAAATAGCTCACACAAACCATGGCCTTTTCTAATCTGAGACCAGAATAACTACATGGTGCCCAGCTGTCATTACCAACTGTTCTCACCAGACACACAATAGAAAGTCCCATTTAGAATGGGAGAAAAACTTAGAACAAAACTCATTCATTGAAAGACCAGTTACTGGACTGGTAGACACTAGAGGAACCGTTCCCTTAAGAGACCCTTTTCACATAGCACTGAAACTACTAATGGAAGTCACCTTTCTGCCAAACAATAGATTGAATTACAAAATGTTATCCCCCATGAATAATGTGTCCCTTAAACAATGAACTATACAGACCACATGGTTAACATTTACCCAGAAGCAAAGATAAGAAGGCAAGGAGGAGAAGGCAGGCTAGGCCACTGGAAACAGAACAAATAATGAGAATGCTGACACAAGGTGAAAATTATAACCAATGTTACAGAACAATTTGCATAAATTTTAAATGGGTACCTAATTTCCTGTGTAAAATTATGCCTAAAATACAATAAAATAATGAAAAAAGAGAGAATGTTGGTATCTTAAGATAAACATAAAAAATGTGCATGGATCCCAATAGTCTGACCTAAGACCAACTGTGGGGATCACACACGGAACCAGGCAGCATTTGGTTCCATTGTACATGGGCCTGCTATGAGCTGGGGGCCTACTAAACACAGAAAACATCAACAGAGTTGTTCAGATCACTCATTTCTTAAGGAGGCCCAATAATAAAAATAGATACACCTCACATAATAACTTATAATTTAAACATAAATTTGTTATACTTAATTTGAAATTTTAAGCTATGAATAAAATAACTAACATTCATTCCTAAGCTATCATTTAAAGTATAAATGCTTCTAAGTAAAAGCATTTACTTAAAACTATTTTTAAGTAAAGTGCATTTCTTGCATCTTTAATCAATACTTCAAAAAATCAAATAATGTGTTACCGATTTCGTTAAAGTCTATTCATAAATGTGTTCATAAAAACCTGTGGGATATACAGCTTCCATATTATCATGTTACATTAGGCTTTGTGTAGTGATTGTTTTGTGTAGATTAAATACTGTGTAGATTGAATACTGTGATGAACTGCAGTTTCACCAACATCACAGCCCAGTATAAAAAGATGTTTTGTTTGTTTTTTTTCCCCACCCCGTAAGGGACTTTTAAAAGCCGAAGAGCACAGCTGGTCCCTTGCAGAACTGGTCCATGCAGTAGTTCTGCTCACACACTATCATTCTCTTGCCTCATTCACCTTTGGCTGTGGAATAAGTCCAGAAATTCATTGTGACGGTGGCCACACGTTCAGATCTCCTTCTGTTAGTAACTATTGCATCTGTGACATTGCAAATGGCAATCATAATGTGGATGAAATGCAGGTCAACTCAGCAGGAAATGTTTCTGTAAGTATGTATTATATGTTATGGGATCCTCATAAGAATAATCACAATAATTGCTTTATGTTGTTTCTTCATTTGACATAGAAAATCCACCCAGTTAAGTTCACAGTGATATTAGTCCTCCATACCTATTCATTCAATTAGTATTTATTGACTGCATCCAAATGGAGGCATTAGAGTAGATACTAAAGAACAGACACAATCATAAGACCCTCTAGGAGGCTAAACTTGAGTTGTTTTAGGATTCAGAGCCACCAGCACGTGCCCCCTCAGGGCCAGCTACTATTGAATTAGCTATTAGGGTGAGATGGGAAGAAGCTGAGCCCATGTTCCCCTTCCTCTAGTTGGTCACAGTCACGTCCTCTGGTGTTGCCACTGGTGTCATCACAGCCTCCTCTTCCCTTTTGTGCCTGTGTGCGCACGCATACACACACGCTCACACACGCACATTCTCACACACACATGCACACACACCACAAATGTGCACACACATAAAAGGGTGGCATCTGAAGTCCTCTTATACGATTTGTTCTGTCTTGATAAGAAATTTCTTTAAAATTCTTGTTTGATATTGAATAAATATAAAAAGTGATATCCAGTTAGTGTAAAGTTGTTAAAATGTTTTTGCCTCTATTGTTTCTTTTGTCTTATAAATTTTTTGAGAAAATTTGTTTTAGAAAAAGAAAATTCATAAATTGCATACTGTGTCTGACATATATAACATTTAGTTGTGTTTTCTCTTCAGGTAAGTGATTCCTTTTTTGAGGTTGAAGCCCTCATGGAAAAAATGAAGCAGTTACAGGAATGTCGCGATGAAGAAGAGGCAAGTCAGGAAGAGATGGCTTCACGTTTTGAAATAGAAAAAAGAGAAAGTATGTTTGTCTTCTCTTCAGGTAAGAGCAGTGATTACAGTCAATATAATTTCTATTACGAAAAGGACCCCACCTTTTTTGTTGAATAATAGGTTTTAGAACATGAATCCAAATATACCTTTCTTTTTAAAGAGCCTAGGAGCTCTGGTATCATAGTGGTTACAAATCGGGCTGCTAGCCTTTAAGGTCGGCAATTCAAAACTACCAGCTGTTCTGTGAGAGAAAGATGAGGCTTTCTGCTCCCATAAAGATTTACAGCCTCAGAAACCTTGTGCAGGGTCACTATGAGTCGGAAGCGACTCCACGGCACATAACAACAACAACATAGGATAGGCTTTACAACTTGGATGATTTTTAAAACCAGCAGCTAATCCATTATATTACATGAAAGTGGAAAGAATAAGTTGTCCAGGCCTACTCAGGTCTGTGTTTGGAAAGTTTGCTCCCTTTTTTAGTTTTATTTCTTAAATTTTTAACTCGAGGCTCTATTACATTTCAGTGCTCTCTCTTTTCAATACTCTGTATCAACCTATTTTCATAAAATAGACACACACATCATCAGTACAGTGCTAGGAAACAGGGCCCAGATCACAAGAGCCATGTCCAGTGGGCATCAGATAAGTGAATAATTCCCATTATGTCCTGGTTTTTCTTTGTACTCTGGACTTTTATTATGTGTCATAAATCTAACTGCATTGCCTCTGCTTTTTAGCGTATTTCAACCAATATATAGAAAATTGTGCTTCTAATATTTTTCTGGTTTTAAGGTATTTAATACATTTTCTGAACAAGTTTTTTAAGGTAAAAGATGTAAGTTTTTAATGTTTTACATCTTGAGAAACTGAAATACTGACTAGCTACTTTTTAAGACTATGTTCCTTATTTTGAAATGTAATGTTAATAGGAAAGTAAAGTAGAACACTCCTCAAATTTTGCCTCTGCCAGACTCCTAGTAGTCCTGGTGTGGTGCTATGGGTTAATGCGCCAAACTGTAAAGCCATTTGAACTGTAAGGTTGGCGGTTCAAGCTCACCAGCTGCTCCTCGGAAACCCTATACAGGGTTGATATGGGTCAGAACCAACTTGATGGTACTTCACAACAAGACTCCTAGAATGACACTGTAGGATCAGCATTGGACTGTAAACCACAAGGTCAGCGGTTCAAACCTACCAGCTGCTCCTCAGAAACCATGTACAGGGTCGCTATGAGTCAGAGTTAATTTGATGGCACTTAACAACAACAATAACAACAGTCTTTAAATGGAATCCTGGTGTGGTGTTGTAGAATAAACACTGGATTGCTAATTGCAAGGTCGGCGGTTCAAACCCACCAGCCACTCGTCAGAGACTCTGTACAGGGTTGCTATGAATCGGAACTGATTCAACAGCACTTAACAACAACAATCTTTAAAGATGTTTGTCCGTATTATACCATTACCTAAAGGAAAAAGGAAGTTCTAGTCAAAATAACACTAGACTAAAAGGACATTTGAGTTCTGGTACTGAAATACTGCTAATAAGCTTTGTTGACTTGAGCAAGTCCCAAGTTCCTTCTCCCTTGTTTTTTCTTCTTGTTTAAAATGAGGAAATTGAATTTGTGCAAATACTGAGCTACCTTTCAGCTTTAAAATTCTATGTCGTTGTTGTTGTTAAGTACAGTTAAATCGGTTCTGACTTATAGCAACCCTGTTTAGGGATTATACGGAGCAACTGGTGAGTTTAAACCACCAACCTTGTAGTCCAGTGCTTATCCTACAGCATCACACCAGAACTCCTTAAAATTTTATAGTTCTATGAAAAGGAGCTAGTTATTAACCAAACAACAATAATCTAAATTCTTTGTCTAGCTTATATCTATATGCAGGCTGCAAGATTTAACATATAAGCCAGGTAATTTCATGAGAAATAGTATCTCAAAATGTATTTTGACAATAGTAGAATGGAAGAAACTGTAAATGTTAAAAGCACTATGTTTTTTAATAGCAAAGAAAACATTACATTTATCTAAATGGAGGACTGGGCATTAGCTTGTATTTCCTCCATAGCCTAGAAATAGAGAGTTGTCATATAATACTGTATTTACTTAACCATAGTCTCATCAGTTCCTAAACATAATGATCAGGAAGATGCTGGGGCAGTGCAGGGAGTATGGGAGAGGTGGTGGTTCAAGGGCCTCTTTTCATTCACCATTCTAGAATTGTTTTCAGGTACCATTGAGCTGTTAAAAAGATCATAGTATATATTGTGTGACACTAAAAGTCAAGTTAAAAAAGTCTATGTGTAAAGTTCAAAATATGGTTGATTCAGGGTCACTATGGGTCGGAATCGACTCGACAGCACTTAACAACAACAACAACAACATTATCACCTTAAAGAATATCCACAAGGTGTTCACACTTTGAGCACATGCTTTTTAGTATAAACTATTACTTAGTATTCTGGAACACTTAACTGTGCTCATGAGGAATCTGTACCTGGACCAAGAAGCAGTTGTTCGAACAGAACATGGTAACACTGAGTGGTTTAAAATTAAAAAAGGTGTACGACAAGGTTGTATTCTTTCACCATACATATTCAACCTGTATGCTGAGCAAATAATCCGAGAAGCTGAATTATATGAAGAAAAACGTGGCATCAGAATCGGAGGAAGACTCATGAACAACCTGCGATATGCAGATGATACAACCTTGCTTGCTGAAAGTGAAGAGGACATAAAACAAAGCCTTCAGTATGGATTACATCTCAATAAAACAAAAATCCTCATCACTGGACAACATTCTTAAACAACATTCTTATCAATGGAGAAAAGATTGAAGTTGTCAAGGACTTCATTCTTCTTGGATCAACTATCAACACTCACAGAAGCAGCAGTCAAGAAATCAAACGACGTATTGCATTAGGCAAATCTGCTGCACAAGACCTTTTTAAAGTGTTGAAGAGCAAAGATGTCAGCTTAAGGACTAAGTTGCGCCTGACCCAAGCCATGGTATTTTCAATTACCTCATATGCATGCGAAAGCTGGACATTGAATAAGGAAGACCGTAGAAGAATTGATGCTTTTGAGTTATGGTGTTGGAGGAGAATATTGAAAGTGCCATGGGCTGCCAAAAGAACCAATAGATCTGTGTTGGAAGAAGTGCAGCCAGAGTGCTCCTTGGAGGCCAAGGTGGCCAAACTTCATCTCTCAGACTTTGGACATATTGTCAGAAGGGACCAGTCAGTAGAGAAGAATATCATGTTTGGTAAGGTGGAGGGTCAGAAAAAAAGAGGAAGACCCCAACGAGGAGATGGATTGGCCAAGTGGCAGCATCAGTGGACTCAAGCATGGCAACAGTAGTGAGGTTGGCCCAGGATTGAGCAGTGTTTCATTCTGCTGTGGATAAGGTCGCTATGGTTCGGTACCGACTCAATGGCACCTAATAACAACAACAGTTACTGTAGTTAGTGCCACCCAATCGATTTCTGCCTCATAGCAGCCACATGTGAAAGAGTAGAATGCCCCATAGGGTTTCCTAGGCTGCAGTCTTCATGGGAGCAGGTAGCCAGGTGTTTTCTCCTCCTGAGCCATTGGTGGGTTCAAACTGACAACTTTTTGGTTCATAGCTGACTACTTACCTGCTTCTCCACATGGGTTCCTATGTACAATCTTGTATGGGAGCACACAAGGACAAGGGGATATCAAAGAGAATGAAAGGCTTAGTTAATTAAACTACATTTTTAAAAAATTATCACAGAGAAGTTACTTTTAGTACATTAATTCCATTTACTGACAAGTATAAGTACTTCATTTTATAGTTTTAAGACTTTACTTTGGTGGTGGTGGTGGTGGTTATGTGCCATGGAGTCAGTTCTGACTCATAGCGACCCTGTACAGGGTTTCCGAGGCTATAAATCTTAATGGGAGCAGAAAGCCTCATCTTTCTCCCATGGAACAGCTGGTAGTTTTGAACTGCTGACCTTGAGGTTCACAGCCCGATTCGTAACCACTACGCTACCAGAGCTCCTTAAGACTTTACTTTGGTGAATGTTAATTATTCTGTGGCAATAAGAGGTTGACCTATTTTTGTTATTGGTAAAATTAATTTGAACTAGCTTTCAATGTTTTTTTTTTTTTTTTCTTTTTCTTTGCATTATTTCAGATGATGAAGAAGTTACACCAGCAAGAGATGTATCTCGTCACTTTGAGGATACTAGCTATGGCTATAAGGATTTCTCCAGGCATGGGATGCATGTTCCAACATTTCGAGTCCAGGTACAATTGCCATTTGTAGCATGTACATACGAGTAGAATATTTGTACTCGATAGTTAAATTATGATATAAAGCATAATAGATTAGAAATTAAAGGGCTCATGTAGGCTGGAAATTTTTTGGAGGCGGATTAAGGTTTGAGATTTTTTCGTATGGTCAAAGAACCAAGGGCAAGGGCAGAAAAACTACAGGCAAGTAATGAGCTTCTGTTGAGGGAAAGGATCATAAAGGGACTGGTTGGGATTCGAGCAAAGAATTCCTACTTCTGATTAATGGAGAATTAGTTTGAAATTGGTCTGGTGTACTTTAAATGCCAGATAGAGCAGTTTATAGACGATTAAATGAGTTTTATAGGTTTTTGAGGAGTCCTGGTGTCATGTTGTAGGATAAGCACTGGGCTGCTAACTGCAAGATGGGCAGTTCAAACCCAGCAGTAATTCCACGGGAGAAGAATGAAGCTTTCTGCTCCCGTAAAGATGTACAGCCTCCGAAGCCTTACACAGGGTCACTATGGGTTGAAACCGACTCGATGGCACTTAACAACAATGTAGGGTTTGAAGGAGCCGTGGTGGTACAGTGGTTAAGGATTCGGCTGCTCACCAAAAGGTCAGTGGTTCGAAGCTTCTTTGTAAGAGAAAGCTGTGGCAGTCTGCTCTCATGCAGATGCGCAACCTTGGAAACCCTGTGGTGCAGTCCTACTCAGTAAGAATTAACTCAGTGACAGTTGGTTTGTGTAGGTATGGTGACAGGGAAGAAATTCCATTTTTTACTGTGACACTGATTGCAGTCCCCACAGTAGAAGAGCACTCTTCCCACTTCTTCCCCGTGTTTACGATTTGCCGTCCTCTTTCTTTCCTGTCCCTTCCTGCCTTCAGACCCTTGTCCCTGGGCAAATGCTGCCCTTTTGCTCTCATATGGTTGATTGTTCTAATGAGTGAATATCTCCCTGGTGACACTTACTGTTCCCCTTATAGACTTGTCTGTCTTTTGGCTAAAAGTTGAGCCATGGTGGTGAAGTTCAGCTCCTAATGTGAATTGTGTCTAATGGGGGCAGTCCACCAGTCTATCATAACTGATTAGAAAACATAAGCCTTTGTATGTTTCAATATGTTGTTGTTGTTGTTGTTAAGTGCCACTGAGTTGATTCCGACCCATAGCGACCCTGTATAGAGTTTCCAAGGAGCAGCTGGTGAGCTTGAACCACCGACCTTGCGGTTCAAACGACTTTGCAGTCTGATGCATTAGCCCACAGCGCCACATCAGGACTCCATGTTTCAATATAACATTTGAAAACATGGGACTGGAGTGCCAGTAAATGTGGGCGCTAGAGTGTTCTAGAAAAGCAGTGAATTTCAACCGCCAGATCTCACCATTCTGCACAACTATACGTGGTCTCATTTTAAGCACTCCGTTTTTTCCATTTCTTGTATCTAGGACTATTGCTGGGAAGACCACGGTTACTCTTTAGTAAATCGCCTTTATCCGGATGTAGGACAGCTGATTGATGAAAAATTTCATATCGCTTACAATCTTACTTATAATACAATGGCAATGCACAAAGATGTTGATACCTCAATGCTTAGACGTGCCATTTGGAACTATATTCACTGCATGTTTGGAATAAGGTTAGTCCATTTTCTTATGTTTATAAAGAGATAGAATTATTCAGATGCATGGAACACACTTGTAGACACGCATATGAGGGGTTCAGAAAGTGTATGGGAAAATGGAATTAAAAAATAATGGAATTTTTCTACAAATGTTTTGAAGTCTTCTCATATACATACAGGAGTCATGGTGTTGCACTGTGGGCTAATGTGCTGAACTGCAAAGTTGTTTGAACCACAAGGTTGGTGGTTCCCGCTCACTAGCCACTCCTTGAAAACCCTATACAGGGTCACTATGGGTTGGGAACAACTTGACAGCACTTAATAACAACATATACATACACTCACAACCATCCCCTCCCAATAGTGTATCTTTATCCTTCTCATGCATCAGGGGACTCCTGGTGTGGTGCCGTAGGACTGCAAACCACAAAGTCGGCGATTCAAACCCACCAGTCACTCCCTGGAAACCTTTAACAGAACTTAACAGCAACAAATACATCATTTGTTCTTGTTGTAAAGTGCCACCGACTCAGCTCTGACCCATAGTGACCCTGAAGCAGCTGGTGAACTTGAACCACCAATCTTGCAGTTCATATGGCTTTGCAGTCTCACGCATTAACCCACAGCGCCACACTGGGACTCATAGAAGTGACTTAATTTGTTTTCTCTCTCCTAGTAAGGCAGGAAAGAGAGTTCAAAACATTGATTAAAGTTAAATGACAGCTGTCTCTCGGAAGAGGGGAGAGAAGTATAGACAAGTGGTCCCTGAGTACAGAAGATGCAAAATTTGTCACCAAACACCTTTGGTATCTTTTTTCTGTATATGTTGTGGTGATGTGTGCCATCAAGTTAGTTCTGACTCTTAGTGACCCTGTATATGGTTTATGAGAGCTACTGGTGGGTTTGAACTGCCAACCCTATGGTTCCAAGTCCAGTGCTTTCCTATAGTGGCACACCAGGACCCTTCTTTATATATGTCATCGCTCTCTCACTTTCTCTCTCTTTTATGTACATCCTAACACCCATATTTTTGCCTTCTGGGAACTCAGTTCTCCTACTTTCCTTCTGAAGAGTACCTACCCCTGTGATCCTTGATCGGAACTCTCCAGTCCTTGCTATTAAATAGTCAGCCATATTATTCTGTTGTATAGAAAATGTAGACATTACGTGCCCACTTCTCATACATACACACACACTCCACACTGTAGTACTTCTGGTTATTTTGGCAGCAAAGCCAGGCTTTCTCTCGATACCCATTTTACAGAGTTTGAGGACTGACTTTTGCTTCCTGAGTGGTGGGTGTAGGATCAGCTTTACTGGAGCTGCCTTTTCCATTGAAAACCCAGTAGGAGACTCCAGGGCCTGGGTGTTCTCGAGTCCATCACCAGTGGGGTGGGGCAACTCAAGTCAGAGCAGCTGTTCCTGAGTGTGGACACTGAGGCTGTCCTATCTGACCCCAGGTCCTCATGGAAGCACAGTGCTCATCACTATTTGCACACTTAGATATCTTATTCAACAACACAGGTCAGTGGAATTTCAGCAATACTCATACACTTTTGTTTGTGACTGCAAATACACACTATTGCTCGGGGACCCAGTGCCAGAGTTTCCATATCGCCAACTAACAGGAAAACAGTACTGGCGCCCTGGCAAATTGTCTGCTCCTCTACCTTAACTCTCTGCTTCTTAGCTTTCTATACTCACTCTCTCACCCCCAATTAAACATTGTAAAGCTAGTTATCATCATTCTGGGGTACAGTTGCCTACACAAGGGAAGTAAAGGAATACAAATACTGCACCTGCTATTGAGGGTTTCTACTTTTGTAAGAAGTCCTGGTGTGGCACTATAGGATGAACACTGACTGTTAACCACAAGGTCCATGGTTCAAACCCACCAGCCGCTCCTTGGAAACCCTATACAGGATCACTGAGTTGGAACCTACTCAATGGCACTTTTGTAAGAAGTAAAACAAACTATGCACTAAAAATATATTTCTCACTTTGTATTTTAAAACAGATACGATGACTATGACTATGGTGAAATTAACCAGCTATTGGATCGAAGTTTTAAAGTTTATATCAAAACTGTTGTTTGCACTCCTGAAAAGGTTACCAAACGAATGTATGATAGCTTCTGGAGGCAGTTTAAGCACTCTGAGAAGGTACGTAGCTATTGCAGCTTGTTTAATCTGTAACTTCCGTGGTCATTTTTTATTCTTTCACCTAACTTAAAGGCTTTCAACCCTTTACCAACCCCAAAGAGGAATAGCTGAGGACAGCGGTGTCAGGTGTTTCCTGGGAGGGAATCTCAGGAGAGGAGGAGGAGGAGTAAAAGAATAAAGACAGAAGACAGTTGGGCTGGCCCATCTTGAGAGGTGTTGGCATGGCTGTCACTGTTGTAAAAGAAAAAATGTTTTCCAGATCTTTTTAATTGTGTTTGTGTAGAAATATCTGGTCTCTCTGAAATGTCTTTATAGAAATAGCTAAAGGATGATTATGTAGGAAATTTAATATGTTTACGTTTTCTGTAATTTTAGCAAAACTTCAAGGGGAGACGTGATCAAATATAAAGTTCACATTATCTATCCAAGAGAAACATCAGATAGCTTTCGTTTTATTGACATTAATATTCTGTTAAACCCAAGATTTTTGTCTAAGCTAAGTCACAGAAAATTGACTTATTTTTAATGTTTAGTAGATGCACTGAAATTTTAATCCTGTTGTCTATGGTCTTATGTTTTCTATTCAGGTTCATGTTAATCTGCTTCTTATAGAAGCTAGGATGCAAGCAGAACTCCTCTATGCTCTGAGAGCCATTACCCGCTATATGACCTGATCCCTTTCCTCCAGTAAAGATGATGGAATGATCAGCAGAGAAATCTATAAGGGGAAGGTACTGAATCCCAGGACCAATGGTAGATAAAAGAATTCAGACTCCATTGTGCCATGATTCCTTTAGTTTCTGCTATTTTACTGTGGAAATGCCACTGCTGGCACGAGCAGTGACTGCTTGGCAGCTTCCAGATTAGAGCTGTGAAGAAGGTCTGCCGTTCACAGTATTTTGCTTTTTGACAGTACAAGATGCTGTATAATTGTTTTAATACAGCAAATAGTAACTCCAAATCCTGTTGCTTTTATGTTAAACAAGAATTGGAGCATGCAAAGAATGGGACTTGGATAATGACTTAAGCTTTATACATAGAGAATTGTAGAAAATCTTGGTGCTGCTATTCTTGCGGGTGGAATGAATGACTCGAACAGCTACTTAGTAATACAAGTGAGCGCCGCTACTACCTGAGCCTACATACACAACTTGTGGTTTCCAAATTAAACTTGCATATGTGTTATTGGTTTTTGCATCTAAAAAAGCATAGAAATATTACTTAGAGCTCATTAAAGACCATTTTGGTGGTAACAGTTCATTTCTTTCACTATAGTTGTTTATTCAAATTCAGAGTTATATCAAATTGCAGTGATGTTCTTAAAGATTTTCTTTAAAAAGCAATCTTAAATGAAAGTGTGTAAATTATAAGCTATCTTTTGATATACTGTTTCCCAAGATTCTGACACTGGAGGGCGGCTGTCTTGTGCAGTATTGCTGTGTCCAGCACCAAAGTTGTGGAGATGTTTGTGTAGACTGCTGCGCAGTCCCAGGTGCCTCCTAGACCTCTGTTCCTGCCCAGCTCCAGGGTCCCCAATTGAGAGGTTGTGCAGCTCCTTAAATAATAAGCTGGAAAATATTTTTAGTCATGTTATCAAATTGGACTTACAAAAATGTTAATTTGTTTGAATTGCAAACAGGTTTAAAAATGTATTAAGTACTTTGTATTCTGGAAGCGTGAATTGCTTTTGAAGTCTGTCAGTATTACTGGTATTTTTCAATAAAGAATAATTTTTCTCCACTTTTATTTGCTGTCTCAATCCATTATTTAAAAAAAAAAATAGGACTTAACAACCAATAACAATTCTGAGTCTCTGTTTACCTTTTTGTTGTTGCTTTGAACATTTTATTGTTATTTTTGTGAAAATTTACATTACAATTTGGTTTTCCATTCAACACTTCACACTCGTTTTGATTGGTGACACTGATTGCAATCCCCACAATGCAGCCATATTCTTCCTACTTCCTGTGTTTACCATTTCCCTTCATCCTTCTTTCCTAGCCTTTCCTGCTTTCTGAGCGGTATCCCTGGGTGCTGCCCTTTGATCTCCAATGGCTTGTTGTTCTAAGGAGTGCTACCTCCCTGGTGTTATTGTTCACCTGACAGGCCTATCTGTTCTTTGGCTGAAAAGTTAAGGCACAGGGTGTGTTAGGATGCAGGCTTAGAGAATGACTAAGGGCAGAGTACTGGTGTGGCGCTGTAAACTAAGCACTAGACTCTTAGCTGCTCCTAGGAAACTGGATAACAGGGTTGCTGTGAATAGGGATCGACTCCACGGCACTCAACAACAACAAGGGCCATAGACTTGGGGGGTACCACCAGTTGCTATTAGACCAGTAAGCCTGGTCTTTTACATGATTTGAGTTTTGGTCTGTATTTCTCTCCTACTCTATCCAGGACCGCCTATTGTGATCCCTTTAAGAGAGGTCAGCAGTGGTAGTTATGCACCGTGTTGCTCTTCTGGTCTCAGGGTAGTGAAGTCATTTTGGACTAATTGTTTCCATGTCTTTGATTTTCTGAACTCTTCCACTCAGGAGCTTTGAAGCTCTCAGTCACCATGCACCAAAGTAGGAAGTAGAGCATTGTCTCGGTGGACTGTGGCATGCCAGTGGACCTTGGTGTCCCCCATCACTATGACATGAGCCCAGGTCTGTTGTATAAACCAAAGAGACTCACACTTAATGATGCTACAATTAGATAAGAGACTGAAATGAAACGTAAAACTCGCAGCCATTTTGGAGGATACAAAGAGGTGTGGACCTTCAAGACCTTACCTAAGACCATTTTTATCCTGGAGATGACTGGTATGAGGTCCCTCGAGTCCATTTTGAATTGTGATACTTTTAGAGTTCAAATAGAATGATTAGAAACAGGACTCATTAGGAAGAGAAACTATAAAGCAAAATAATGACTCTGTGAAATGACTAGCAATAGTTCTAATTGTCATCCAAGCTCTAGTATTAACTCTTGTTACTCATCCAAACATTTATTGAGCTGAGTCTAGTACTGTCAAATATATCATGTGTATTGAAAGCTTGGTGGTGAGAAGGGGGTGGCACAATTTTAAATAGAAGTGGCACTGCCCTCTAAGGTAGCTACTGTCACGAAAAGACAAGACTGTCACCGTAGATGTTGTGAGCTGCCATAAATCAGCCCTGACTTAAAGCAAGCCCATGCACAAACGGAAGGAAATACTGCCCTGGTCCTGTGCCATCCCCACGATCTGATCTGTGCTGGGTCAAACTATTGTTATGTTATCCATAAGGTGCCCCTTCTTCCTAGTCCTTCTTAAGTCTGGAAGCTCCACTGAAACCTAGTCAGCAACCTAGTAACATGCAAGCCTCCACTGACAGAAAGACAGTGGCTGCACATGAGGTACAGTGACCAGGAGTTCAACCCGGTCTCCCTCATGAAAAGGGAGAAGTTCACCACTGAGTCATCAGTGAAACCTGCAAAATAGATGATTGTTCCTTTCATATTTTTTATTTATAGAAATGCATACTCTTAATAGAGTTCTGGTGTGGCACTGTAAGTTAAGCACTGAACTGCTAACCAAAGGCCTGCAGTTGAAACCACCAGCCACTCCCAGAAAATCCTAGGTTGTTGTGGTTAAGTGCCGTCCAGTCAGTTCCAACTCATGGCAACCCTGTACAGGGTTTCCAGGAACAGCTGGTGGGTTTGAACTGCCGACCTAGAGGTTCAAATTCCAGTGCTGATCCAACAGCACCACAGGGGTCGCTATTAGTGGGAACTGACTCAACATCACGTAACAATAACAGCACTCTTATTAGAGTAACCAAAATTGCTCTTCCCAAGTTTTCTACATACTTGGTTAACTTACAGTGGTCCTACACATTGAATTTGCATCAAGCCTTTTGCTAATGAGTTATTTCATCATTGTAATAAAGTTGAATTTAACAACTAAGGTTGCAATGGATATATTTAAATTTTTACTCCTGCTGCAGCCGCTCTTTCTTCTCTGTGCCTTCCCTTCAAAATGGCAACATTTCTAGTAGAGATACTAATCAGCAGTATGATGATCTCAAAACAGGATCAACTGGAATTGAGTTTCTAAGTTCACTGAAGCTCTTAACCACTTAGATATCAGAAGTTGACAACTGAACATTTTAATGGGTAGAAAAGTGCTGTCTACCTAAAGTAATAAAAAGCATGCCTGTCACACAAAGTTGATGTTTCAAAGCCTCCCCATTTAACAGGTGCTTCCTGTTACTCAGAACATTTTATAATGTTACTATAAAATGGATTTATAATGTTACTATAATCTTTGAAATTAAAGGTTTCCAAAATAATTGGGAAAGGTAAAATAGAATATTCTACAGGATATCAAAATCGTGCCCCACCAAAGGGGGGAAAATTTTCTTAAGTAATTATGAAAACATTTCTGGTTAAGCTTCCTGTTAATAGGATTTAACTTTTTAAAGCTGAGACTTTTGGGGACATACAGGGAAAATTTAGGACAAACTTAATTGATTCGCTCTTAAATGAAGACAGCTTCATTTAAGAAATGTGTTCTTGTAAAGATTTACAGTCTCAGAAGCTCTACCGTAGGTTTGCTGTGAGTTGGAATCAGTGGCAGTAGATTTAGTTTTTGTTTTTTAACTATAAAAATGAGATTAAATTCCAAACAATTCTATATTCACTACAGTTATTTAGGTTTATCGTCTCCATGCAAAAGGTGGTAATGCTTTTTAACTTTAAAAGCCAATGGGGTATTTATGCTCCAATAGTTTAGCTATTTCAAATTAGTTTTGAGACAACTAACAGGCAAATAAAACTTGTTGGATAAGTATGTTTGCTATCATTAAGGTACCCTAAAAGTTGATTAGCACCTTTGGAATGTGTGACTATCAAGGGGCTAGCAAAGGGCAGGTAGATGATTCCAAGTTGTTCACCTCACACATGACTCGGACAGGTATACAAGGGCAGGGTAATGTAGTAACAGTAGTATTAGAACTTCTCTACCCAGTGGATGATAATACAAATCAAGATCAGCCCTATGCCAGACATACCTCCACTCCAATCTTTTTACCAATTCTGATACAGCCGTCCCTCCCTGGCTCTCTGTATGTCTCTTCCGGGTTCCATAGTCTGCTGCAGTGGCCACACACAACTCGCAGAACACACTTAAAAGGGTACCGGCTAGGATCAGGAGGCTTGTAGCCAAAGTCTCCTTTGTTCACAGTCTCTGGTCCCCTCAACTGCAAGCCTCCTTTCAGCTCCCCCTGACAATAGGCACTTCTGGCCTTGCCACCTCTGCCAGCCTGTCACTATCTCCAGCGTCACAGTCCCTGACCTGTGGTACCGCTTTTAGGAGGTTCCTGGGTTCCTCCACTCTTTCTGTCTCACAAACCTCTGTGGGGCTAGCTGCTTAATACACAAACTCCTTGTCAGTTTCCAGGCATGGCACGCCCGTAAGGGCCAGGAACTGACCAATCCCCTCTCAGTCGGCCACAGACAATTCACTTGCATAGTCTATTGACCATTCCCTGCAAGGTCCAAAAAGGGCCAAGCAAAAAAATGTGAAGCCAGGAAATGTTAAGTCAACCTGAACAAAAATAAATCCTCTGGGATAGAAAACTAGAGCAAAGGAATTCTACAGGGTTTAAGGAGAAAGGCTCTCAAGTTGTTTTTTAAAGAAACAAAGCAAAGGGCCACCTAAAGGAATTCATTTCACCACAGAAGGGATGTTGTATGAAGAAGAGCGACTATTATGAGTATCCTTTTGTTCAGTGCCTTCAAGTTGCTTCTGACTCATAAAGACCCTGTATAGGATTTTGGAGGAGTGGCTGATGGGTTTGAACTTCCAGCTTCATGGTTAACTGTCCAGTGCTTATTACAGTCCCACACCAGGAGTCCTACCATGTGTTTTATGGTGGCTCTGTGCCGTGGAGTCGGTTCCGACTCATAGCTACCCTGTACAGGGTTTCCGAGGCTGTAAATCTTTACGGGAGCAGAACGCCTCATCTTTCTCCTGGGGAACAGCTGGTAGTTTCAAACTGCTGACCTTGTGGTTCGCAGCCCGATTCGTAACCAGTACGCTACCAGAGCTCCTTACCATGTGTTTTATATGTTATAAACTCTGAAGTGGTTGTTTTAGGGGAAACAAGGTTTGCAGGAAGAATGTATAGCTTGGTATGGATAAAATAAAGACTTACATTCTTCAATATTTTGGAGCGCTTAATCCTCTGGACTTCAACTGATTTCATTTAGTGGGTGCATCGACTAGCCTACACTCACGAATAGATAAAAGACTACAACACGGTATCTCTCTGTAGGTTCTCGTGAGCCCTGATCAGGGATGAGTTACAGCCTGGAAGAGCCCTTGGAAAGTCTGCTTGTTTCTGGGAGTTTTGGTTTATTCTAGAAAGCTCCAAGAGCCAGGCCAGTCTAGGCTGCCTGCCCTCACACCCTGAGTGAGTCTTGGTCTTTTGTAGGAAGAGAGATGAGCTGTTAATAACAGCTTTTCTCTAAGCAGAGTAGTCAATTTGCTCTTATTTCCAGGTCTCTTTCATTTGCCTAGTGTAACAAACGTAATCTCAATTTGTTTGATTTTTTTAGCATTTATTTTAAGGCCACATCTTTCCTACAAGGCATGACAAACAAAACAATTGCTATCATAATGCTACGTGTTGAGCCCATTGGGCGTTGTAGTGGGCAATTTGCTCATTTCGTGGTTTGTTCTAGGCTATACTGTAAGAAAACAGGTATTCCCTTTTTGCAGTAGATGGTCAAGGTCCTCAGCTAGCCTAGGAGAACTAGGACTTAAACTATTCTGCCATACACTGAGGCCTACACTACATTAAATCACTACCCTAGTCAAAGAGAGTTCTAATTAGATGGGACTGTGCTCCCCCATGTTTTATTTCCATCCAAAAGACAGAGGTAAACTATTCCTCTTTTCATTTACATTATTAAGAGTAGATGGCCCAACAGCCTTCTCTAGCTTACTCTACTTACTCCTCTTCATATGAGAACCAGAAAAATACCAGAACTTAATCAGAAAATTTATTATCAGATATAGTAAGACTTCATACAGGTGCTTATAAAGTAATGTGCCCCACTTGCGTTAACCACCATTCCTTTTATATACAAAGTCTAATGGTCTGCACTGACCACTAAAATTCCAGAATTGTTTAAATCAGGATTTTAAGACTAAAACTACACTATTTCAGAGAGAATAGAAGAAAAAGGCACTTGCTTAGAAAAACTATGCATATATTGCCAACTTACATTTCTCATAGTAGGAAGAATAATATGTCACATATTCATTTTCCCATAATATTTAACAAAGGGAAAATGCTTGTTCCTTTTAAAATCTTTAGCTCCTCACTAAAATAAGTACTTGAAAAAGTTTTTCAATATTGGTTAATACTGAAAAAAGTTCACATTTGTCGCCACTTTTTAAGAACGAAGGAGAGGAGACTTCCTGTTTCTGGTGTGAATGTGCTTCACATTACAAAGGAGGCACCTGCAGGGGCTCCAGGAAGGTGTGGTGTCTCTGAATTCTGTTTAGAAGCTGCTCTGCTACCGGCTTGAATTCTGTTTCCCAATGGAGTTTGTGATAATTTCTTAAGTCTGGGTCAGAACTGCCATCCAGTGCCAGGTCTTCATCTGTGTCAGAAAAACAAAAAGTTGCAACAATGATTTAGAAATGTAATCCTACTAAACAGAGTTTAATTTTGACAGCCATCTTTAATACCAACACAGGACAAGATAAAGGATTTTAAGGTTCAAAGAGTTGCTTTTTGTTTGTTTTAATGAGTGATGTTCTTTACCCTTTTGTTTTCTTTACCAACATTCTAAAATTAGTCTGTTTTAGTCTCTTAATTTAAAAAAGGGGTAATCTGGTTTTTTAAAATCCTAGACTGAATTGAGCTTTTATTTCATCTAATTCGTGAGTCTATATGTAAGTTCTCATACAAACGTCAGATCACAATTTTTTTAGAATAAACAAATCATGAATAGGTTTCTCCCTTGCCAGCACTTTTGAAAAGTTAGCTATTTCAGCAGTAGACAGATAATAAAAGGAGTTAGAGAATTTGGGGTGAGGGGGAGATAGCTCAATTTGCACTTGATTGTAAAATCAGATCTTTGCTGGCTTCATAGCAGCCTGGAACATACTTGAAAAAAAAAAAACCAACCACCTATGCCCTCTTCAACAATAGTGAAAATGGGGGAACTTTGAAAATTCCAAATCTAAAAACAAAACATAAGAATTATAGTTTTAAGTCTTAATCCAGTTCTTTGAATACCCTAAATCCTGTGAAAACCCTAAGTATGATCCAATACAAGAAGAAAGACAAATGTCCACCAAGGTTTTGGTGCCTACTTGCCACCACATTTTCACTTGCTTATATTGTGGCGTTGCGGGTTAATACACTGGACTGCAAAGCCGGTTTGAACTGCAAGGTCAGCGTTGCAAACTCACCAGCTGCTCCTTGGAAGCCTATACAGGGTTGGAACTGACTGAACAGCACTTAACAACAACATATTGGGCCTCACCCCTGGTGACAGACTTCAGCAATGTGCGTGGCCTGCCAGTCAGAAGATTGGCTCTTCTACTTCCTAGTTCTGTGGCCTGAGGCAGATTTCTAAAGTGGTAGCCACTATCTCCTAAAACAACCACTTACATAATGTGCATGCCCCACTCCCAGTATATGTTGTTGTTAAGTGCTGTCCAATAGTCCAGTCAGTGTGACTCATAGCAACTCTGTATAGGGTTTCCAAGGAGTCCTGGTGTGGCACTGCAGGTTAACAATGCTTTGGACTGTGAGGTCAGTTTGAACCTCAAGGTCGGTGGTGGTTCAAACTCACCAGCCACTCCTCAGAAACCCTATACAAAGTCACTATTAGTCGGAACCAACTCAAGGCACTTTACAACAACAATGTAGGGTTTCCAAAGAGTGGCTGGTGAATTTGAACTGGTGACCTTATGGGTCAAACTAACCTTATGGTTGTTGTTGTTGTTGTTGTTGTTGTTGTTATGTGCCGTGGAGCCGGTTCCGACTCATAGCGACCCTGTACAGGGTTTCCGAGGCTGTAAATCTATACGGGAGCAGAAAGCCTCATCTTTCTCCTGTGGAACAGCTGGTAGTTTCGAACTGCTGACCTTGCAGTTTGCAGCCCGATTCGTAACCACTATGCTACCAGAGCTCCTTATGGTAGGAGCATATTCTATTTGAAAATGCTGTGCTACTCTGTTTAGCTCACATTCTCTACACTGATTATTTCTGTACACTTGATGTGTACTTTGGCACTTTGGGTGTTAATGTTACTACCCAGAACAAGATAAGGGCATCTGGATTAGTCCGGAGTCACCCCAGTTTGTTTCTGTTTTCCCAATCAAGTGGACAGCTATGTAGCTGGGAGATAAATTCCTGACAGACACCAAGACGTCAGCAAGCCTCCCCAGGGCAACCTGGATCTCCCCACCCACCAGATAATGGAGCTTTGAGGGGAGGGACACGCAGATGGTGTCTGATGCCTTCAAAGGCCTTCCTATTTGGCTTCTTCCTGGCCAGGGGAGTAGGCTGGATGCTGACTGGTTTCCAATTATTGTGTAGTCGTCCTGCTTACTCTTTTCTAGATTTTCTGAGTGACAAACTTTTGTTAACAAAATGAATTCTTTTCTTTTACGGCCTCTCTCCCATGCTGCTTTGTGCTGAGCACTGAGGGCAGGCGGGCACTTAGCAGTACTTGTTAAAACATTTAGGTTAGTCAGCATTCAAAACCCAATAGATGTTCTTCTGGGGAGAAAGATGAGGCGGTCTGTTTGTGTAAAGATTTACAGTTTTAGAAATCCTCTGAGTCAGAATTGACCCGATGGCAGTGAGTTTGGTTTTGGTGTTACATAGAGTACTAAGTATTCTGCCCAGAGCTTAGTTGCACAAAGTGGTTTTAGCAGACTCTCTGCCTTAAAAACAAAACAAAACAAAACAAAAAAACCATCAAGACTGATAGCTTTGTTGAGGCCCCAGCCTATAATTGGTTAATCCACATTTGGGCTCCTTAATCCACACTAAATCCATATTAATTCTACATTGGGTTAGACACAGTGACAGAAGAGTGGTCAAACAGTTACAGGTAAGAGAAATGCAATCTAAAATTTCAAAGTAAATAAATGTATGCTATTGTCCTGCTGTGGCACTGTGGGTTAAGGCAGGCTTTCAGGGATAGGGCACCAGGTACATACCAGATCCCCTCCATCCACCTTTTGGAGGAGGAATGGGTGCTCTGCCTCCTTGGGCAAGCAGAAGGCGCTGGGTTAGACCAGGTACCCTTTCCCCAGACACCCTCTGGGCCAGCAAAAACTCCTTCCAGGACTAGGCACCCTGACGACCTCCTCCTCCCCACCCTCAGGCCTTCCAGTTTTCTCCTTTTAAATACGCTTTTCTTGTTTTCTTCTTTTTCCCTTCCCTCATTTTTCTTTGATCCTTTATCTTTGCAATTCCCTTTTTCTTTTTTCTCCCCATCTGAGTATTCTTTTTTCCTTTTGTTTCTCTTTTCCTTCCCTTATTTATTTCCTTTCCTTTAACCTTTTTGTCTTTTCTTATTTTGTCCCCCCTCTGCTTTTAAATTTATTATTTTATTAACTGTTGTTCTTGCTCTTGTTTTTTATTCCTTTTCTTTTCTTTTGTTCCAGCTGGTAGGAGACAACAACTATGCCCACACAGCCCAGCCATGCCCAAATATTCCAGCACCTGACCAATCATAGATGAACCAACACCAGCCCCACCCACCCTCAGCTACCCTACACAAACAGTGAGCAGACAACTTCACATACAGTCTCTCCTCTATCATAGCTGCCAGGAGACAGGTGAGACAAAAAGGGACATAGTCAAGCTCTACCTCCAGCCAGACCCTACCTGCATGGCCCTCCCAATTCCAGAGCAGACCAAGCTCCTTCAGGACTTTACAAACCGCTCCTGGGCTCCCACCCCATTAAGTCTGAGCATCTGTTTTACTCGTAAACTGAAAATGAAATGGAATTTTAAAACTCTAACTGGAAAAAAAAACCAACAAAACATTTTTAGAAAATAGTACAGATGTAAATGCAGGGTATGTCAAGAATCAATAACTTCACATTTGCTAGTTTTATTTTATAAAGGTTTGCATGATTTTGTAGCAACAGTTTTTGTTTTATCCCCATACATTTTACATCATGACTTAGCATCTATGTATTTACATATTTAAATAACAAATATTTACACTAGAATGCTTGCCCTTACTACCTTACTATATATTGTTGGTGTTGCTAAGTACTGTCCACATCATCAAGCCATTTAGACTCTAGTGATCCAGTACAGGGTTTCAGAGGAGCAGCTGGTGAATTTGAACCAATGACCTTGCAGTTCAAACAGACACTGTGGTCCAGTGCTTTATCCCACAGAGCCACGCCAGGGTTCCTTACTATATATATAATGCACTCTAATATACACAAAGGAGCTCTGGTAGCCTAGTGGCGACCAGTCGGGCTGCCAACCTCAAGGTCTGCGGTTCCGTGGGAGAAAGATGAGGCATTCAGCTCCGGTAAAGATTTGCAGCCTTGGAAACTCTGTGCACGGTCACTATAAGTCGGAACCGACTCCACGGTACTTAACAACAACAACAATACATACAGGAGCTTGAACTGGAAGGTCGGTGGTTCGAGCTCACCAGCTGCTCCTTGGAAACCCTATACAGGGCTGCTATGGGTCAGAATTAACTCAACGGCACTTAACAACAACATATGCAACTTCCGTTTTTTAAAATGCTGGTCATACAGGCTCACTGGTTGGATACAGACTAGCAGAACCTCCAAGACTATGGCCCTCGGTCACCCTTTAGGTCTGGAAATTAACGCACCCCGTGGCTTAATTGTCAGACAAGAAATAATCTATCTGGGAACAATACTAACACTAGGGAGGTGTGCATACCTTAGAATGATCAAGTATTTGAGATCAAAAGAAATAACATTCACCCTAGGACAGAGGGCAGGAGGATTGGGAAGGAAAGAGGAATGGAAACAGGAAACCTAGGGAGGAAAGCGATGAGTGATGTTACATTGTAGAGATTGCAATCAATGACCTGAAACAAAATGTGTGTGAATCACTGAATGGAAGAACTGATGAGTTCTGTAAATCGTCACCCAATTCACTACAAAAAGTTTGTTTCTGGCTTTTTTTTTTTAATGCTAGGCTTTCAAAGATTTCTGCTCCTATAAAGATTTACAGCCTTGGAAACCCTCCCTATACAGTGTCGCTATGAGCTAGCCCCAACTCAAGCTCACACAGCAACGGCAGCAGCATAATCAAATAAATTGATTTCATAACTTAAAGTGTGAGATGTATTTACTTACATCACTAATTGTAATCAAGTTTTCTTTCTGCACAGCACACTTCCAAATACTAAAATATTTTGGCAAGGTATTAGAAAGAATTAAAAGACTGAAAAAAAAAAAAAAAAAGAATCTGTCAGTGACCATTATAACACAATCACCATACTATTTTAAGTATCTTGCAGTATCAATAAAAGTTTCCCTGCTCACTACACTATTTAGGGATTATTGCCCTAACTATTCTCTAAGACAGTGTCCTGGTGTGGCGCTGTGGGTTAATGCGCTGGACTTCAAT